AGTTTATTCAATTGACAGTCACTTTTCAAAATAGCGCTTCATCAGGGATATATTTGGTCATATTGAATGAAATAATTGAATATAACTTTGATTCTCATCATTCATTTACCACATTGGTTCTTCAAGTATTTAATTAGAAACTTTTATTGTGAAATTCACAAAATAGATGGATAGATCCATTGGTAATTAGTTCTTCATCAACTATGTGCTGTCCGTATAATATCTCACTTAGATATTAACTTTTGAAAATCAATACAAAATGTGAATGAAACTATTTTGACTATCCTTCGGTTAGTATGTAATCTTTAATCAACTAACAAAAAAGATAATTTGTATGCCAAAAAAAACAAAATTTATAAATGAAATCATTGTAAAGATTACGTAAGATAGGTGAGCAAATTTCACACGCAATAAATGAATTGCCATTACATTTACGACATGGCCGACCGCCAAGATTATTTTCGATTATTTAATTCACCTTAAGACAAATAGTTTGCATGAATTTTCTAAGGAAAGTTTAGATGACACAAGAATGATTATAACAAGAACTTCGTTTATTTATTGGGCTATTTAACAGACAAGATTTTAGATTTGTCACTTCATCAGAAATCTTATAGAAAACAAATAATTCTCAGGTGGTTGTTTTCGCGGAGAGATTGCACTAGCTTCTTCGTCTTCTAAATGAAGAAGATCATTCTTATGAATCTAACAAAAAAAAACTACTTTTCCAGATAGTAGATTATAAGAACAGTAACACCACTAGCTTGTTCTATAGTTCTATTTACAGTTTATATTTTTACCCTGGAATCAGTAGTTTATAATTGAAAAACAAATGACCATAAGCTTAAAGTCTCAAAATGATCGGACATCGAATTTTCAAAATATCTCTGCAGTGCTTATATGATCATCTTACCTTTTACATGTTGCTGTCGCTGTTGGATTCCAGCGTACGTTGACTTTTCTTCAGCATAAATAAGTTGACTCCAAACAATCCGATCACTTCGTTCTGTATGCAATTCAATGGTGCATGGTTTAGTTAACTGTTTCAATTCATGATTAAATTGATGAATGATATATTTCAAACGTGTTAAATCGTATTCAACAAAATTTTCTGTTTCCTTTAAATGAATTAATTCTTGTGAAAAACTCTTAAAATCATTACTTAGTTTAACTCGTTTCGAATTTAATAATTGAGAAACTTGTTGACGAATATGCTCAGCTACTAGATTTACTTTTTCAGTCATCATATTCTGCCATTGGTCAATTTGTTCAAAAAGTGGACCATATAAATCATCATGGTATATTGTTTTATTAATTTTATCTTGAAGTTCATTACGAAGTTCAATGACTACATCCATTTCACTAAATAAAGTGCTTCGATGACTTTTGAAATCTTTCGTACAAAAATAGACTCCACATCCTGTGCAATAACTTGTTCCAAGTTCTTTTTGACACACGGAGCATCGATTTGTTTTTGTCATGACTAAAGACATTAACAAATACGATATCATTCATATTATAAATAACAGTTCAAAATGAACACGCTTTAGGAGACGTTACCACGAAGATTATATGAGAAATAGTACTGTGCGAATAAAGAAACAAATCATTGCTGTTTGTATCGATTTATAAAAAATATCAGTTAAGTTTATTACTTACTAAATAGGATCTACTAGACATACGCTTCTTATCGAAGCTATACATCTGTATGATTTTATTAGCAACTGTAAAATAGTGTATCGATCGTTTTATTTAACAATGATTTACAAAATACGATCAAAAAGGAACATTTTTATATTGTGTGAAAACAAAACTTAAGATTCTCAACTGAATTAATAGCGTCTTTTAACGACTCAATATTATGCATGTCCCAAGCAGACAAAAATTTCAAAAAACGCGTTTAAACGCACAATCGGG